TCTGCCGCCAAGGATCTGAACTCTAACGCATAATCCACGAGGGTTCGGTTATACTGTCTAAGACGTAACAGTAGTCTAGCTGCATTGGCCTTTCTTCCTGGGGGGTCAAAAGTTCTCCTAAATGCAGCGACAAAAGCATTATAATTGTAAACTAACGGGTTATCATTTTCCCACAGGGGGTTAGCCCATCTAAGTGCCTTGTCAATGAGCAAGGTGATTATAAATCCAACCTTCGCCCTGTCAGTAGGGTAGGCGTGGGGTTGTAACTCAAAATGAATACCTATCTGGTTTAAAAAACCTCGACAAGTGTCAGGAGCGCCGCCATAGCGTGAAGGGGACGTAACACGGGAAGAAGTAGCCACTGTGGCTACCTCTAGGCCTGTACTTACAGGAGAGATAGATGGGGTACGCATCTCCTCTGAGTGATTACTAGGACGAGATAGCAATGCTTGCAGAGCTAGAGCCATCTGGTCCATTCTATGATCCATGGCCTCAAATCTAGAGTCAGGAGAACCGACCTGAGAGTTTGTACCTGCAGGATCCATTGGCCCTGTCGTAATGTCAGGATCGTGACAGGGATCCAACACGCAGAATACAAACAGGAGATAGGTACGTATACCGGACCTTAGAATGGCCGGACTAACGTAAGGAGAAAGCAAAAGAATGGTCAGAGACAAGCCGAGGTCGAGGGAACGAGAGAGTAGGTAAGCGAGAGACAAGCCGAGTCAAAAGGACAAGAGAGGAAAGCAGGGTCAAAAATACAAGCCGAGTCAGGAACCAAAAGACAATAGAGGTAAGAGCACTGAGTGACCAGACTAGCTAGAACCACAACAGGGCAATGAATCATTCCACAGAACCCTTTTTTATACCTTGGCTCTTTAACTGTTGGCTCCGCCCCCAACGAGTCCTGATTCGTTGTTCGGCACTTGGTTGCCGTGATTGACGGGTCGGAACGTGATAGCCGTCATGACGTCGGCTACTGAGCGCCGCATCATAAAAGGAGGCGGAGCTATCGCGGCCGGCGTGTAAACGGCCGGGAGGAGTGCGAGGATCGGGTGAGTCAGCCCCCCTAGGAGGATGGACGTCTAGGTGTCTAACCTCCTCCGAGGTAGACACCAAAGGTAACCTGACAGTAGTGCCCCTGTACAGGTAGCAAACATTCTTGAGAATTGTTTTAACAATTGCAGACACTTCTACGCAGCCCTCTAGCACAGGGTTTCTCAACCCAGTCCTCAAGGACCCCCAACCAGTCCAGGATTTAGGGATTACCCTGTTGTGTCTAAGTGTTTGTTCCCCACCCCATAAAAACACATTAGACACAGCAGGGTAATCCCTGAATCCTGAACAGTTCGGGGGTCCTTGAGGACTGGGTTGAGAACCCCTGTGCTAGAGGGCTGCGTAGAAGTGTCTGCAATTGTTAAAACAATTCTCAAGAATAATCACTACAGCAAGTGGTGCTAAAAGAGTGGATTCAGAGATAGCAAGGGAAATGATCAGTAGTGTGAAATATACAGAGGGAATATACAGTTGTGCTAAAAAGTTTGCATACCCTTAGAGAATTGGTAATATATGTACCATTTTTAAAGAAAATATGAATGAGCAGGCAAAACACATTTATTTTATTTCTTATGGGATTCATATTCAACTGTAGGTTATAACAGAATGGCACGATCATAAAACAAAACATGGCAACAAAGAAAAAAATTAAATAACCCATGTTCAAAAGTCTGCAACCCTTAGTTCTTAATACTGTGCATTGCCCCCTTTAGCATCAACGACAGCGTGCAGTCGTTTGTAATAAATATCTATGAGGCCCCTAATTCTTGCAGGTGGTATAGCTGCCCATTTGTCTTGGTAAAATGCTTCCAGATCATGCAAAATCTTTGGTCGTCTTGCATGAACTGCACGTTTGAGATCCTCCCAGAGTGGCTTGATGATATTAAGGTCAGGAGACTGTGATGGCCACCCCAGAACCTTCCCCCTTTTCAGTTTTAACCACTAGAGGGTCAACTTGGTCTTGTGCTTAGGGTCAAGTCCAAGAGCATCACATGCGCAGCCTTCGTGCAGAAGAATGCAAATTGTTTGCCAGTATTTTCTGATAACATGCTGCATTCATCTTGCCAGAGCATTTTCATATGATTCCTCGTGCCTTTAGAGCTCACACATCATCAAAACAGCCACCACCATGCTTCCCAGTGGGCATGGTATTCTTTTCACAATAGGCCTTGTCAACCCCTCTCCAAATGGTTGTGACCATAAAGTTCTATTTTGGTCTCGTCACTCCAAATTACCTGTCTTCCAGTAAGTTTGATAACAAAACCACATCAGGAAACGATGAGACATCTATGTAATAAAAAACATAACCACTGAAACAACTCTTCTTGATGTCACCTCTCAAATGTCCACAACAACTGCAGTTCTTCACAAGAGTCACTTCACCTTCCACAGCTACACGTACACCACCTCTGCAGAGTTACAATCTGCTTAACTTTCACTCGCTCTTCATATTCTGAACATCATATTTGAAATTTACAGGTTGATTGGTATTTTATGAGACCATCGTAATGCAAACATCTTCCTTTAATGGCATTTTTTAATCTCATGCTAACCCTTTCTCTAGCCAATATTAATAAACCCATTGTAGCAGCTTGCAAAGCCCTGTATAGTACAATAGTTAATTGCAACTGTTCCTGTTATAAGTGGGCAGTTTACTCACATACAGATATTATTTTTAGATTATGCTGACATATTTTATGAAACTGAATTTCTAAAACATTTATGTACAGATTTTTGAATTATCTATGATATTAGAGGCTAGGAAATAGCTTCCAACCTTAACCCTTGCGTTTAATGTTTGCACGCTCGTAACATCTACCACAACTGAGAGATACCCGATCTCCTGTGCCCATAAAAAGTGGAGGATGGTGAAGGTTTAAAATGCAGTGTAACTAGACTCCACTGCCATGTACTGAACCCCTTATCTTTTTAGTCCATACCCCATTCAACACCATCAACATAGGGAAATGTATTTGAGAGATGAAAACCACTTATATGTAAACAACTATTCTTAACTCCATTAGTTCAATTATGAAAATAATATAAGTGAAACAAATCCAGTTTGTACACTAAATCCTATGCATGGTCCAAGGAGGACTAGGATGTAGGACAAAATGCGAAGGACATTTTAGCATACAGACTTATGTATTCTACATAGATAGTAGGAATCAACACTGTGACTTTTGTAATTATCAATAGGATGTTTTACACAAAGCACCAAAGTTTAGACAAGTCATCTCATAAAAATAATTAAAAATACATTTTGATATAACTCTAGTGGAATGATGTTTTTTTTCACCACTGCACTTCGTTCATTGACCCCGTAAGATTTATTTTCACTAACATCAGAATATTAAACATATATGGTGGGGCAGGAACAGTATATAAACAACAGTGTATATTAATCCATTATAAACATCATTGGCCTGCAAGGGGATAACAGTATCATTTATTCTCTGTTTTGGTTTGTGCTGTTTTATCAACTATATTATCAAAAAAAAAACATAAGTAATGACTTTGAGAAAGGAGATCAGAGCAGGGAGTAAATTGGAAGCTTCAATAAATCACAGTGAAATAGATTAGTTTAAACACAGTGCTTCTTGCTTGAGTCTGGTGGGGACGAGAAAAAGATAAATTTTATGGCCTCTTAACAACTGAAACAGATTATTTTGGATGTGGATTAAAGGAGACATTCTGCCATATTGGTAGTTAGTAATTAGTTTAAAGTATTACTTTAATGCTTGTTTCAAAGTTTGAAATGAAGAAACCTGGAGACAAGGCGGTCGTTTAGATTGACGGTTGAGTGAAAGATCGGAATCAAATGCTATTGTTTCACAACACTATTTAAAATTTGTAATTCTCCCTATGGTATGACACAGAGAAACCGAGACAAGCAGCCGATTAGTTCTTACTTCAAGTCAGAAAAGAAATGGTTCAGGATAGAATGTCAAGATGGATAGTTGGTAGAATGTCAAGATGGATGGTAGCTTACAGGGCAACAAATTCTTGTCTCATCATCTTCAGTATGTCCTGTCATCCAAGTGTAGTTATTAGTTAGATATGTTCTACTTGAACCCCGCTGAAGAACACCACTCTAGAAAATGCAAAGATGGAGTACTTTTTACATAATTCACGCAAGGATTGAAAGCATTTCATCTCATCCTTCTATAGCTAAGGATGGATCCTGAACCCAACATCAGGAGGTACACTGCTGGATTTTATGACAAATTCGAAAAGGCGGACACATACATCCACAAAACAACAGGTACACAAAATTACAAATATACATACATCTACACAAATTTTGGCACGCAGCTTCTGCTGTAACACTGATGCCATGATTCCTACCTGACAAATCATGAAATGCACTCTTTCTCCTGAATTTGTAGAAGGATTAGCAAGTAATAACCCTGGCAACGTGGAGGCATTATGTGACCCCACAGTTAGACTCTGATGTCAAGCAGACATAAATTCACCTGGCATCTTGGGGATTGGGTGATCATTTGTCCTGGTGCTCCCAGTAGATCAACCACTGCTATAGACAGCACAGCAGAGATACAATTCCTATCTAGCCTCCAGTATGTCCACTATATGATATTTCCAAAGGGGGCAGTGGATAGACAGTGGATAGACTTAAAGACTGAGCAGCATCAAATGAGGAGTAGCATTTTGTAGGGATCACTAAATTCTGGATAAAAATTGTGTAAAAGCATATAGCCCTGAGGCAGTTCCTAATTTCTGAGCACATGGTAACAAAAGTGAGGTAACACTTTAAAAATGTTAATATTGGAGGCGGAGCCTAACCCTTAATGGAGACGGACGCGTGAGCCCTCAGCTCCCCGACCCCGGGATTATAATCAGCCGCCATCCGCGAACAATTCCAGGCATCCCGCTGCACGAACCCACCCCGACGCTCCCCCACACCCAACTCACTCGCTTAAACCATGGGAGGCACGAAAAAACGACGGGACACCACTCCGTCTGTAGCCTCGATGTTTCGCGGCAAGGAAGACGGGCGTCCATCTTTGTCACAAGGCCTCACTGCAACCGGCTCTGAGTCCGAAGATTCCGACTCCGCAGAGCCGCAGCCTGCACCCTTCACGAAAGAAGACCTGAGGAAGCTGCTCAGAGAGACGTCCGACGATATAAAAGCCTATACAACAGCTGCCCTGGAACAGCAACTTGCAAGCCTGCGCTCTGACATAGAGGCCTTAGCCTCACGTACCAGCCATGCTGAAACTCAGCTAGCAGATACACAGGCCACGACTAAGGCACACACCAGGGACATAGAGGCACTGCAAGAAAAAATCCTGTACCTGGAGGATGGACTGGAGGACCTAAACAACCGGTCCCGAAGACAGAACTTCCGGATCAGGGGCCTGCCTGAATCAGTGCAACCGGAGGCACTGCTGCCCACGCTGCGGGCAATCTTCCACTCTCTTCTTCCGGATGCGCCCGAACAAGAGCTCTACATTGAAAGGGCTCACAGGGCCCTGCGCCCCCCAGCCTTCAACATGAACGCACCCAGAGACATCATTAACAAGCTACTATATTTCTTTATCAAGGAGAAGCTCATGAAGGCAGCGAGAGATACCCCACCAACGTACCAGGGCCAAACTTTACACTTTTACCAAGATTTGGCGCCAACCACGCTGAGGAAGCGCCGCGAACTTAAGCCTCTCACGACCGCACTCATCGAGAAGGGCTGGCGCTATATGTGGGGGCACCCTTTCAAACTCATCGTCAGGAAAGGGGACCAGACTTGCACCCTCCACCACGTGGCCGAAACGCAGGAATTCGCCCAATACCTCGGACTTTCCCTACGCCACCCGGCACCGGACTCGGACTCTCTCGCACCAACGGACACCGATCGACAGGAAGGACCGCGACCACGCTCCTCTAGACAACAGGCCAAGCCGCAAAGCCCTCCGGCCACCAAGGGACTAACCCACAGGGACACGTGAACATTGGCTCCAGCACGAAGAGCCTCCCAGCCAACCCATAGAGGCACCCTTGACCGTCCTAGGTTCCTGGACGTAATGTATTAAGTGCACTCAGTGTATTAAGTTTACTGTTTCACATGTTTATTTTTTATGTTATGACACCATGCACGTGGCACACCTCAGCAGACTTATAATTTTGCCCCCTCGGGTCGCTTAGCCTCGAGACACCCCCCCAGCTCTGCTCCCGACAATGGGCAGATAGGGCGTCCCCGGGGCGGGTGATGCACTCGGGCACCACCTACAGAGCCCCGTAGAGGACCTCGAGACCCCAGCATAGGTCGCAGGGTTGACCCAGTGGCTCAGAAGCAGACCCCCTACCGCTGGCCACCCACCTCCGGGCTCACATGGCACGTAAAGCAATGGGAAGGAGCCTTGGGACCCCGGGCAGGGAAACCCCCGGCCTCGCCCCGCAGGCCCGACAGCTAAACTGCGGGGTGACACCCACCAAAGATCATATTCCTGGCCTAAAGGTGGAAGAGACAGATTATATCATGCATAACCACAGCAAATATTGACAGAAACACTAGTGGGAAAATACTCCTTAATCATACTAACAGGAAAGGAGGACCGGGGGGCCCGTAGAAGGCGGGGGGAGGTCGGCCTTCCGGGGGAGACCTTGGCCACCTCCCCCGCGACAGGGGAGCCACCCACCCACAGCCGGACAGGGGGACCCAAAAGATAGAGGACCGCACACATAGACCCGAGGCCCCTCGCAACACATAAAGTCTCCCTGGTTGGCATGAGTCATGCTGCAAGATACGATTTACATCCAGGCTTCACGATAGACGATGGATGCAGACTACCCAGTTCCTCGGGAATAACCCACTCCCTGCTTCACACGCCTACCAGCCACGCACACGTACACACAACCAGGCCGGACAGCCTCTGGGGCCCCTTCCCACTCTTAGCACACTAGCACACACAGGAATACAGGGCAATCAGATGACTTAAACAGTAGACCACCTCACAGCTGAGGCTTACCGCAGCCCGAAATACTCGACAGGGCGACGATCCCGCTGGGACACCACCCCGAACACAGGCCAACGGCCAGAAACAAATACGCCCCAAGTAACAGCTGGGGAGTAGACCCACACAGCCTCCTGCACCACTACCGGGAGGGTGAGAATACCCGCCACACAAAGGGGGCTGCGACAAGGGACCCCTCCGACCAGTCACCGCAACCCGGAACAGACATGTCCACAGGGGCCACACTTTTATTTAGCCTTTGTGACACGTCCCTTAGATAGGGGAATAGGACAAAGGGGCGGACGCCCAACCGCGGACGCAGACAGACATTAGCTGAGTCGGGCCTCATAGGAGGCGGCCACCACATCCCACGACCACCGATGCATGGCCAGCAGGACAGACACGGGACTCACACCTGCCCCCCGCTTCAGCGGCGCCCCAGTTAATAAGCCACCATGACACTACCCGACGCGGAGCCCCACTATACATCCCCAGAGACGTATAACTATAGACATGCAAAGGCACATTTCCCGACCCCCACACGGGCACATACAGCCGTAGACGCACGGGGGTCCAGCACATAGACACCTCGGGACAACCCCGCCTAACTGGCAGCCGCCCACCAGGACATTGACCCCCCTCACCCCAGCCACAAGGACGAGGGTCGACCACGCACACCCCAACCTGAAGTCGCCCCAAGCCACATAGAGCCCGACGACGAGTACCAATCTCCCCACACACCTCCCCCACCCACCCACAAGGGAGCAATCGGACCACGCACGGGTCCCACCCTTTACCACTCCACTCACAACAGCGAGATGCAGCTATTGAGCTATCCCGGGGGGGGGACAAGACCGGACGTCTTCTCCCCGCGATCCCCCACGAACTCTACAACCCCGGCACACTCCCCAATCCTATCTGGGAAAGGGACTGCAGACCGGACACGTGACCGACACAGAGAACATAAGCCCACGGACGCAACTCCTCCGCCCACACGACACCTGGCAGGAGCATAGTAAGACCAGGTAACACCCCCCCCTTTTTTTTTTTTTTCTTCTTCTTCTTCTTCTTCTCTTTCTTCCTCCTTCTTTCCCCTCCCTTCCCACTTCTACCCCCTCTCCTTCTCCTCATGGGCCCCCCGCCCCGCCCAACGGGACACCCCACGGCAGCCACGCGCCCCAACCACGCGCTATGCCGGCGACACTGACCTGCCTATCAATCAACTGCAAAGGCCTGAACAATCCCTCCAAAAGGCACCAATTCATGCGATGGGCCAATAACTCGAGAGCAGATATACTTCTCATACAGGAGACGCACTATACCCACGCAAACAGTTCCCTCTCCTGAGCCGGCACTACCGGGTGAACCACTTCGCTAGCTCCCCAACGGGCAAACACAATGGGGTCGCCATTGTCGTGCGGAAGTCATGTCCCCTCTCAGTCATTAGCACAATCGCGGACCCACAGGGCAGATATCTCACGGTCGCAGGCAAAATTGGACCGCAACGATACGCATTCACCTCGGTGTACGCGCCCAACACACCCTCAAGCTCGTTCTGGAACACCCTCAGAGCGCACCTGGCGCTCTTCCCCTCCCACCACTTGATAGTTGGAGGGGATTTCAACGCCACCCCCTCACCCGCGGTAGATAGACGCCGAGCTAGACATCATACACAACACCGACAACCGACGGCACAAGCCGATAAACTCCTCGCGACGTTTTTAAACCGAACCCAACTCATAGACGCTTGGAGATCCCAACACCCCACGGTGCTAGACTACACCTTCTTCTCCCACCCACACCAATCACACTCCCGCATAGATCTCATCCTAATCTCCCCGGCGATAGCACCCTCACTCCTGAAGACGACTATAGGCCAAATCACCTGGTCTGATCACGCGGACACAACACTAACGTTCAACATCCCAGGCGAGGCCCGATCGTGGACGTGGCGACTCAACCCCACTCTTCTCCACAACACACATATCCGCTCTACGATCGCCCAGACCATAACAGATTATTTCGAGCGCAACGGGGACTCGGTAGACTCGAAATGCACCCTATGGGCGGCCCATAAAGCGGTCCTACGGGGAGAGATCATAAACCAAGCAACTATATACAAGAAACAACGACTTACGCACTTGGAACAAACTCTGAAGTTACTCCGAACCTTGGAGACCAAGCTAAAACTCGAGCCCACACCAGAAGTGATGGAACTCATCGCAAAATGCCAGACAGACATCAAGGAATACATGAAAAGAGACGCAACGAAAGCACTTCTGTGGTCCAAACAACTCTTCTATGATAAGGCCAACAAGGCTGACACTCTCCTCGCACGGAAACTCCGGCATCGAACGGCCGCGAAACAGATCCACCGAATAGCCACACCAAACGGGCCCATTACAGAAGACCCCATTAAGATAGCCGAAGTGTTCCAACACTACTTCACATCCTTATACGACCACGACCCCGATATACGACGGGACCCGATCAACACTCAAACGCTCATAGACCACTATTTGACACGCACTCCGCTACCCTCTCTGCCGATCGAGGCGGCGCAGAAATTGATAGACCCGATAACGCCAGAAGAACTTACCGGCACATTGAAGACGCTCAAACCTAACAAAAGCCCAGGCCCGGACGGGTTTACAGGACTATACTACAAAACATACGCCCCTACACTCCTCCCCCACCTATGTAATCTATATAACGCCATCCTACAAGGTAACCCATTACCTCAAGAAATGCTCCAGGCCACAGTCTGCCTTCTCCCCAAACCCAACAAATCCCACCTAGACCCAGGCCACTTCCGACCTATCTCTCTACTGAATGTGGACCTAAAAATCTTCACCAAACTACTGGCAGACCGCATTTGCCCCCACTTACCACGACTCATCCACCCTGACCAGGTGGGATTCATTCCCATGAGACAGGCCAGTGACAACACCAGAAGAACATACGATCTCATATGGGCCACAACAACGAAACGTATTCCCACCCTTCTATTATCACTGGACACAGAAAAGGCCTTTGATAGGCTACTTTGGCCGTTCCTCTTCGCAACCCTCCACAAATTTGGATTCCCTCCGAGCTTTATAGAAGCACTGCAAGCACTATATGCCTCCCCGCGGGCCAACCTCCTAATACCTCTCACCCAATCACCCATGTTTACCATACACAACGGAACACGCCAAGGATGCCCGCTATCGCCGATCCTATTTGCCCTATCCCTAGAACCGCTCCTACAGAACATAAGACAGAACGCTGCCATAAAGGGTCTCAATATCCGCGGAGAGGAG